ACGAGCGCAAATTTGTTCAACACATTTTGGAAGTAGCCCCCATATCCTCTTCTCCTTCTAATGTGGACTGGCCAGTCCCAGAGGAGAAGCACACCAGCCTAAATAAAAGAATAAACCCTGAAAGGCGATGAATTTTTCCAGGGAACAGAGCTGGGCCTCTCGTTCTTCAGCAGGTTTGTGGTTTGAGTGGAGCACAGAAAGAGGGAAGGGAAGGCACAGAGGGAGACCAGCAGCAGTGGTGGGAAAGTGAACCCCAACTGCTGCTGTGCCAGTTACACCTCGGCGTGGCAACATCACATCTTGCCAGTGGTTTCCAAGAACGTCCAAAATACACATATTTGTATTCCCAGAGCACAGAGAACCATTTTAACATCGCTTCCACGCCAGCTGGTCTGACAAAGACAGACACAGAGGAAGGCTGCTCTGTGTGCATCCTCAGAAACAAATGCCCTGTATTTTAGGTCCTCCAATCACGTGCAAATGCAGAGCAATTAATTGCCAGAGCGTGATGTTGGGTGTTGCAGTTTTTGCAAATCAAAAACCACCGGCCCTCATTCACATCAACCCGGAATGCAGTTCCAGTTTGATACGGAGAAATGATTTCACGAGGACGATCAGACAGTGGAGCAGTTTGCCCACAGCAACTGTGGGAAGTCTGTCCTTGGAGGTTTTCAGGGGCTCCTGGGTCAGTGGCAACCCCGGTTTGAGGAGATTGAACTGAAGACATCCTGAGGCCCCTCCTCCCTGAATGATTCTGTGCCTGTACCCCCTTTTCTGCTCAGCCATCCTGAAATGGATGGGCTCTGCCTGGGATACCCTCATTTTTTGGGGTGCTAGGACTACCCTGTGAGCTGATGCAGCACAAGCAAAGTAACTTGTTCCAGTGTTTTCTCCTACTCTCACTTATCCCACTGCCACAACAAAGTCCTGCTAACCCAGACCTTCACTGCTTTCCCAGGGCCAAAGGTTCCCTTGGAGCCAGAGAAGTGTAAATTCTGCTTGATGCCCTCTGGAAAACTTGATCACACTAAGTAAAACCAGTCACTGCTCACAGATATCCTGTGAAAACAGATGTTACCTCATGGCAGTTGTAGCTTATTTAAAGTTCCAGGCCAGCCTCCCTCTGCCAGTGGTAACAACACAGTCACATGCAGGTGTCAATAATTCACATGGAAAAAGTCTTCACTGGAGGAGGAATATCAAACATTCCAATGCCTCTCCCTCCACTTGGAAGTGAAGCTTGGTGACTCCGTTAAAAAACCAGCTGAAACCAATTCAACCTTTTTATTTAGCGCTAATGCACTGCTTGCCCTGATAACATCACCGAGCACAACCGCTTCTAACAGCTGAGGTTTAGGGGAGCTTCCCACCCTTGGAAGTGCTCTGCATCTCAAAAACGCTGCCAAAAACCTACTGTGCTGGAATCCACCGGCCCATCCACACACTCGAAACTCAGCTGTGCTTAAATAAAACGTTGTTGTTTTTTCATTAGCAATGCGAGGGACTTGCAAAGCTGCACCTCCACTCAGAGTCCCACTGCCAACCCCACCTGCCTTTGCCCTGTTTCATCTACGCCAGGGCTCCCGGATTTCGGTGCCTTCTGCTCAGGGATTCCAGAAATAATCCCAGCCATTCACATCTGATACGATTGTTTACCTCACAGGCTTGGAGGTTTCATGGGTCATGCACCAAGGTGATCCAGCTGAGGGTCACAAGTGACTTGGATTTGCAGTGTCCCTCATAAAAGCCAAAGGGAACTGCCATGGAAGAAATGGATCATTTAATCAGTTACTGACTACGGCAATAAAAAGTGGGAGGGCACCAACGTGTTCCCAGAGGGATTCATGCTTGGGCTTGTAGATTGGAATATTTATCTACAAAAAGGGTAAATAGAGAGGTGGCAGTTTATTGATCACTGAGCTGTTACGACCACAGAAGTGTAAAACAGCTGCAAAAGTATCTTGCAAGGTATTGACTGGCCAGATAAAACAAGGGAGGGAATTCCAAAGTCAAATGCAATATAAAAGCACAGTCTGAGCCTCCCTTGTGGGGTCAGAACTGGCTACTTCTAAAACCTAACACCGCTGATTCTCTTTCTTTTCTCCTATCAGAACTACTTCATGTAGAAGTTATTTCGTCTGTATGAACACGTGTGGTGTTCAGCTGCTGCCAAAGGTTCTGAAATTGCTGTTTGTGTTTCGGTTCAAACATAACACGAAAGGAAAAGTATTGCAGTAAAACTGGGCTCGTCGTGTATTCCCCCATTTCGGGAACCGCAGCTCTTCCAACTGACCACCGGCCACAATTAACAAGCTCCCCGTTGTTCTGAGGTGAACCAACAGCTTTCTGCCAAATCAGAAAGGCTGAAGAGAGATTCTGTCATCTTCTTTTTTAAAACAGATGCAACTTCAGAAGAACGGGAGCTCTTGCGGCTGCATGTCCAACTTTCAGTTTACCACTCTGTGTTTTATCCCTTTTCTCGTTTTCCAGTAAACACTAACAACAAATGTTATTGTAAAAATCACCCAAATCAGATCAGATCGGTCCAAAAACATTTCTTGTCCACTCTGATTTCCCCCTCAGTTTTTACACTTACCTCAAGTTGTGAAGCCTACTTGAATTTTTGCTTTGCAGTGTTATGGATAAGGATATAATTGGAAGAAAGAAGATATTAGAACAACAACAACAACAAATCAGCTCAGCCATGGTGAAAATAATATTATACACCAGATAAACTTCACAGACACCTCAGCAAGAGACTGGTTTATTACACTGAGGGCGTAGGTTTATTTTTGGCATCTTGTATGTGCAGAGCAAGTATCTTAAATATTCATGTTATAGCTTACTAGTAAATTAAGAGGCAGTTTGGGGAAAGCCTGTTCAAAATTTTTGATGCCAAACTTTCAGCCTCAGAAGCAACAATTTAAGAGGAATTTTAATATTACTGTGCATCAGAAAGTGCTCACCTTTGCTTACTCCTCTAATAAGATAGCTTGTTATTTTCCTGAAAAGATTCTCTCCCCCTTAAATAGATGAGCTCATCAGTGTCATCAGTCCCTGGAAATAAATACCAGTATTACACAAAGCACCTAATTTGTTGTGATTCACTGCAGATATCACTGTAGTGATACCACTGTATTTAACTGCTATAAAACCCAGCTGGAGGCCGATCACAAGTGGTGATCCCCAAAAAGGGGGTCACCCAAAAAGGGTCACCGAGCACTGGCACAGAATTTTCCGTCAGAAAAGAATTCCCTTCAGGATTTTAAAGGAAACAGGAGGGATGGGCTGGGGAGAGATTGAATTCTGAGCATCACCTTCTCCTTTTGCACCTTGCAAAGGCAGCCCACAGCACAGCAGGATGTTTCAGCAGCCAACAGGCCAAAGTTGCCTCGTGGAAACATGAAGAGAAGATGGTGCCAGACCCTTCAGGAGGAAATGAGAGCAAATCCTGATACATGAAAGGAAAAAAAATTCCTCACGGTGGAAGTGACGACCCACCAAAACAGATGGCTCAGAGAAGTGGTGGGCTCTTCATCCCTGGAGATGTTCAAAGCTCAGCTGGGCAAGCCCTGAAACAACCTGCTTTGCACCTTCCTTGAGGTCTCCTGGCTGGGCTAAGAAGCCTCCAGAAGTTCCCTGCATTCTAAATCTGGCTACCAAGGGCACGTACAAACTCTATACATTAGATAATGAGGTAAAACCCATGTCCTTAAAGCAAACTCCACTGAGTTGCAGGGTAAATAGCACTGCATTCAAAAGCAATTTCCATTTGACCAAATCCAAGTCTCTTTCCCAAAGTTCTCATTGAAATGAAACATAATAATATCAATAATATCAAGCACTCAAAGCAGCCTCCTGTTTGTTAGCGCTCAGGTAGGGCCATCCCAGAGCACGTGGCACAGGATTGCATCCACACAGCTCTGGAATATCCCCACGAGGGAGACTCCACAGCCTCTCTGGGCAATCTGTTCAGTGCTCAGTCACTGCACTGGGAAGTTCTTCCTCATGTCCAGGTGGAATTTCCTGGGCATCAGATCCTGTTTCTTGTCTGATTGCACTGAGGAGAGCAGGGCTCCAGCCCCTTGACACCCACACCTCCCACTGCCACACAGGGGTGGGGCCCCGCTCAGTGTCTCTTCTGGAGGCTGAACTGCCCCAGCTCCCTCAGCTTTCCCTGGAAGGGAGATGCTCCAATCCTTTATCCACCTCTGTAGCCTCTGCTGGCCCCTCTCCAGCAGTTCCCTGCCTCCAACCAGCCCCTGTGCCACCGCTCACGACCCTCTGGGATCTGCTGGTCAGCCAGGACTGAGGGGGGGAGAGGAGATAAAATTCATCACAAACAGTGCCTCATTAATCACAGCCAGGCAGAAAATACTCAAATAATAGTATTTGAATAGTATTTAAAAAAAAAAAAAA